CTAGAAAGTTTCATGTCATCAGCAAACATGGCCACTTCACTACTTACTCCTAATTTGAGATAATTTATGAATAGGCTGAAAAGGGAACCCGGACATACAACCCAACACAACGCCTACTATTAGAAACACTACCTCAGGCTCAGAATATGAAGATCTGTCTGCTGAGGCTGAATTACTGGATAAAACTCAGAGCACCTAATAGAAAAGCATCTTACTTGGAACAATTGGGTTTTATTCAATGAACAGATTTTTAAATTATTTTTGTAGAAGAATATGATACATTGATTGACTATTCAAAGGTTTACTTCCTTTGGAGAGATCATGTTCCTACTAAAAATATTTTAGAATAAGTTCTAATGTTGTGTATTTGCACAAACTTTTGCATCTCTTAAGACTATAAAGATAGCTTTCTGATATAATCTATTTAAAAAACCTAGATCCAAAGGACTGTTTACTTTAAAATGACTCCTAGAAGAAAGAACTAACTCTTGCTGGGTTTCTGTTAATGCCTGTTACAGACCTCAATGGAAGATTCACTAAACTATCTTTCCATTTCCTCTTTAACACTGCCTATCAGAACAACTTGAAAAACTTCTACATTATTTGCTTAATTGTTCATTCACAAGCAGGAAGAATTATCTTGTTAACTTGCTAAAAATGGTGCCAATTGGTAAGTTTGCTAGAAGGCAGACTTCTTGCTTTTTAATATGGGCATGACTTTGAAAAGGGTTGCTATTATCTGAACAAAATCAAATAAGGTCTGTGCCAAATTTCTACGCCATATGTAAAAGGTTGCACAAAAGAACATTGATCATTTAGAGTAAAACTCTAAGGGGCTATTGCCTGGTAAACAAGGTCAAGAAGGCTCCAATCTTGAAGGCTTCCAAGTACAGTGGTACCTCGGCTCACAAATGCCTTGGTTCACGACCAAATGGGGTCGGAACCAAAACTTTCATGAAAATTTTGACTTGTGTCGCAAACTCTGCATTGGGTGGCGACCAGATCACAACCCAGTGGGGAGATGGCCACGATCGCAGTTGCATTTGTGCAGGGAAGACGTGCATGATTGCAGCTGTGCTGTGCTGCGCCCGTCTTTCCTGCAGGAGTGCGCCCGTGATCACACACGTCTTCCCTGCACAGACACAACTGCGATCGTGGCCATCTCCGCACTTGGGGGAAAGGGCCATAATCGTGGTTGTGAGATGGCCAAGATTGCGCCCGTCTTTCCTGCAGGAGCATGCCCGAGCCAGGATTTCTTTGAGAAGCACTACCCCAACATAACTGTAATGAACAGAGTGTTGAATCTGATGAACGATAATGTGGTCTCTCATTTCCAGAGGATTATGCAGTGCAGTAAAAAACAAGTGACTATAGACTAATTTTTCACCAAAAATGACCCTCCAGCTAAGAGACAAAGAAGAGAGAAAACCCCTGAAAGAGATCTCCCCAATGTCCTTATGGAGGGGGACTCTCCCTCAAAACAATAACCTTCCCCCCACCTAGGTTAGTGTTCACCACTGTACTGTATAGTACTTTGTTTCAAATTTTTCAGATTAAAAAGAATAAGTTACAGAATGGATTAACCTTATTTACATTGACCCTTATGGGGAAATTTGACTTGGCTCGCGACCAAAAATTGGCTCACAACCACATTCGGAGGGGCCAGAATGGATTAACCTTATTTACATTGAACCTTATGGGGAAATTTGACTTAGGTCACAACCAGAGTCGTGGAACGGATTAAGTTTGTGAGTCAAGGTACCACTGTAGTCTGTGCCCTACTGGACTGCTACCATAATGACAGGAAGAACAATGTAGATGATTTTTCACTGGTCCAGCCTCCTTTTTTAGTTTTTCCTCTAGCTAGCCATCTGAGAAGCCACACTGCTGGTGACAGCATGAAGAGACCATAGCACAAAGCAGGCTTCACATGCTCTTCCCATCCCCACTCACCAAAACACCCCCTTTTGACCAGTATGAAGTTGTTGCTACAACTTAAACAAGTGCTGTCATTCTTCCTGTGGTGCCTAGAGAGGGAGGGATCCAATCTCCAAGTCCTTCTTCCAAGTGACAAGAGTGCCTTTAGCTTCTGAAGGAAGAATCCAAAATATTCTATGCCCCCAGGGTACTCTTGCAGGTACCACAACATGAAAAACTCAACTAAGAGTTGAGTTGTGGTTTAAAGATATAGTCCTAGCTCAATAATAGAACAAAAACTTTAAATGACTTCAAACTTGATGCAAGAAACATCTATTTAAGGAAGATCCAAATGGAGAAGAAAGCTTGTTACCAGGAAGAATGAGAATGGTTTCTGAGTTCAGGTAAAGTGCCAGAAAGTGTCACTTACCCCATTTAGCCTACTGAGCAGTTTCACTTTTATATTATTCTTTTCTCATACATCCATTAATTAATGAACAGCTTATGCAGAACATTGTAACAAACCAGGAATACACCAGGAATTAATGTTTGTACTCAATGACAAATGACAATTACAGCAGTCATAAACAAGCATCTATGGCATCATACTGGGGACTGTGGTCAACTATGGTTTGCTAGATGATCGAACAGGTTCAGATGATCAAACAAACCATAATTTGGAAAAATAAATACTGGCTTAATCCCACATATGAATACTTTCAATGTGGAAGCTTCTGAATCAGCTGAAATCCTAGACCTTGCATTTCTTCTCAGATCCCTCGAGCAGATGTATAACTTCAACCTGTTCTGAATGGGATTGTGTTTCCCATGAAGGCACAGATTTGTGGCTTGGGTGTTCTCCTTGAACCATCTTTGTCATTTGAGGTGCCCTGGTAATTTTTAAATTAGAGTGTTGCAATGCACTTTATCTGGAGTTGCCCTTGAAGACAGTTCTGAAGCTGTAGCTTGAGCAAAATGAAGCAACTAGGTTAATAACTGGCACCAGAAGGTCTTAACATGTAACATCAATTCTGACCTGATTTTACAGCCTATATGCTTCTGAGCCCAATTTAAGGTGCTAATTTAATTGATAAAGCCCTACACAGGTTGGGACCACAATACCTGATGGAACACCTCTCCTAACCCCAATCTACCCAGACACTATGATATGTATCTGAAGACCTTCCTTTATCTGCCACCTGCAAAACAGACCTGGAAAGAGGCAACAAGGAGGATAGTCATCTTATTTGTGTGCCTTCCCTCCAATTATGGAATGATCTCTCCACTGAGACATGCCTAATGTTAACATTATCATATTCTTAGCATGAGGTTAAAACTTTTGATTGTTATAATTGTATCAATGATAAATTGTTGTTAACTGACCAGAGATCTTCAGCTATTAAATAATACAGAAATAAAAATAATAGCAATAGCCTTTTTTCTGTAGATGGCAAAACTCTATTCACAGTTCCTGTTAAATATACTGTATTTACGTTGGAGAATGCCTTTTCCCTTCTTCCCAACATAAAACTTTGCTTAAATATTCTCATAATACACACCCGCTTCCAGCTATGGGTAGCATCTAAAGCAAGAGTTTAAAAGAGAAAAATGGGAAATTAAGCTATTTCTGGAAAAGCACTCAAGACCTAGAGCAGAAATATTCAAATCAAAAGTTTAGTAGTGTGTGTATAAAGGGGTGTGTATCTAACACATAATTCAAGACTGCTAAGGAAGGGCAAACAAAAGAATTTCCTGTTTTTATGGATATCTGCCTTTTCTCTGCTTAAGTAAGTATAAGGTATTACATATAAAACTGGCTGAGGCTGGCTATTGTAAGTAGTATTTTTATTTCATGTTCACTTATAGAATATATTATTATTATTATTATTATTATTATTATTATTATTATTTTAACAGTATAGAGATTGCTACTTGTGTAATTAGAACTACTTAGAACTAATATTTCTACTTCTAAAATAAACAAAAGTAACAAAATATCCAATTGTTCTTTAAAATAAATTGCAAACTGAAGCACTTTGAAGTAATTTTAATTATAAAACTAAGTTATATTATTTATATTTTCAAAAACACAGACAAATGGAATCAAAAGTTACTTTCTTTACTCAGTTTTACAATGCAGGCCATTGGTTGAGAACTATTTCTGTTCATTCATTCAGTTCATTTTTCTTGAAAAGCATCTCCTGATGATCTCAGCTTGATAAACCATGCTTTTAGTCCAATTATGAGCTATATGCCTGCTTACTGTTCCTTCCTTTCTTCACATGCCCAATTTCAAAGTATCCAACCTGGATTATTATGGCCTCATAGTTTATAGTGTTCTCTTTAAGTCTGCCCATAGATTACAGCCTTATTTTTGAACTCCACACAAGTATGCTAATATGTGTCATTATGCCCAAATTGCAATAAATTGTAGCTGTGTTTAAATATGATTTTTCTGGAAAAAAATCCAAAAGGTTTATGCTCTTGGTTTATTGGGATAGAGCAGAGTTCTGGTTTCTTATGTTCTCCACATTTAAATATTATTAGTAGACATATCATTCACAAAAATTACAATGAACTTTTTTTTAAACGAAACTTAAACAGCAAAACGTAATGGTCTGTTTTGCTTGAAAGAGAATTAGATGTTGGTACCTGTAAATAGGTTTTTTTTAAATGTAACAATTATCTAGTTTATAAAATTCTCCTTAATGGCAGAACAACAAAGCAAGCAATAGAGCTTTGATTATGAGGACATATAGAAATAACTTTTTTTTTTAATTAACTATATTGAGAAATATGCTTGCCAAAGGCATGAATGTACTTGCAAATGAAATAAGGTTATGGGGGGATACATAGATTGCTGAGTGTGTTATGAATATAAAAAAATCTACAGAGCTGCAGATCAGAAACTAACAGAAGCAAAAATTGTAACCTTAGGTTTTAAGCTACAGGTTACAGAGATGGTTAAATGAAAGGAGTTTTAAATGAAGGAATCTGCACAAATAATAATAAAAACCTGCCTTCTGTTTTTTTTTGTTTTTTTTACAAAAAAAAGGGAATTAATAATTAAATTTATCACTTACCTAGGGACATAAAAATGCAGGTAGTTTTTTTACCAGAGAAAATCTTTCCATCCAGAGCATATACTTTCTGAAAGAAACAGGACATACAGTGTAAGCTCTTCAGTGTTTGAACATTGACTGTGTATAAGGCATACATGGAGGTCATGTTCAGAGGGTCTATTCCAGAGAATTTTAGAACAGAGAAAATTCTCCAATTTATCTGCCTGAGCAGACAAGAAGAGAGAAGAAATGTGTGTATACCTAAGAGTTTTGTGGTATTGAGGCATCTTCCTTGAAAGTATTATCTGAACAAGTCCCAATTATCTAGTGCCTTGGATCCAACAAGGTGGCCTATGCATGCAGAAATGCACTTCTGCTTATGAATTTCAACAACATCCCTCCTGTTGCATCTCCCCATACTTCCCCATTCTGTTTCAGAAGGTGCCCTAACCATCACAAAGAAGTTGCAGTATAAGGTGAAACTAGGAAAGCCCTACGAGTTAGCACGATTGTCCTGGTTCCAATCAAGAAACTGGACAAGCGTCCTGGAAATGTACCTTTCAAGCCACTGCCATAAATAAATGACTGCTGATCTATCACAGGAACACAAGAGCCACACAGGATCAGATCAACACTCCCTCTGGTCCAGCATTCTGTTCACACAGTGACCAATCAGCTGCCCGTGGGAAATACACAAGTCAGTCATGAATTTCAAGCAGCCCAAGCCACTAGTATACACAGGTACACTGTCCCCCGAAATTGCAGGTAGTATATGGCCCTGATGCTGGAGATAGTAACCATAAGGCTTACCTTCCATGAATTTGTCCAGTCCCCCTTTAAATCCAACTGGCCATCACTACATACTGTGAATGTGAATTCCACAGCTATCATGGATTACTATCCTGAAACTCATAACCAAGTGCAACATTTTGAAGTTCACTTTTTACATGTATGATGTAGTGTCACAAGACTGACTTTCTTGCCATCCTTCCAAGCATCTCAACAGAAAAGGCTTCTAACTAAATCTTTAATATGTGAATGCTGTGATACGACAGTATTGTTAAAGCATTAACAAAAGAAACCATAGAATACTATTAGGGAAATTGGCTTAATGTTAAGAAATTGATTCCAACCTGAATACTTCTTCTCCCTTCCCAAGCAAAAGGAGTTAACTATACCTTAAGTATGATTCAGTGTTGCTTGTGAACCAATTATTGAGAACATCTGACATTACTCAATTGGTCTGCCCTTTTGGTCTGATACTGCACAATTGTACTAATGATGTTAAGTCTGACCCCATCTAACTCTGCCCATTCAACGGTTTCCCACAGAACCAGATGTGGTCTAGTTTTCACTGGCCTCTTGTGCCTGCTGGGCTTGGCATTTCAGATTAACATTCCAATCTTGCCTCCTCTTCCAGATCTGATTCAGAATCTAAGACAAAAACCTTGCAAAGCTCTATTTTAGGAGAAGTGGGCCTAAACTCACATGTGGTCAGCATGGGTACCCTCAGTTAAAAATAGACAATTCAAAATTAACAGAAACAAAGATTAGAGAAACTCAAAAATTATCTATCCCAATTTCCTCCAATGCAGGAAATCTAATAATACAGGTCCTCGGATAGGTGGCTGTCAAGTCTCTAGTGAAATACAGATTCATTCATGAGAAAACATTTCCATATGGCTTATATGTTTTAAATGCAGAAAGACACTTGTGCTGTTTGCTCAGAGACTGGGCAACTTGTTGACAACCCAATACATATGCTAAATAGAGGGGAGTTAACTGTCTAGAACACGAAAGCTTGCAGATTTAACCTGGAACAGAATGAATTCTGTAAATAGAAATCAAACTGCATTCCAGGATCTCAGTGGTAACTAAACCATGAACTGTGGCATTCAAATTCAGCTAGCACTTGAGATGGGGCTGGCAGAGGCTGGTACTTGTTACCATAAACATGCTGATTGCTCATTATCCAGTCAGGATGACCTACTGTTTAAAAGGTATATCCTTTCACTTTTTAGAGACAGACATCCTTTTCCATCACAAAACGGGCATGACCAAAAAGGGAATTTTTAATGGAAAATAAGCAAGTATACATTTTCCATAGCTGTTCATCACAGCATTCGTATCTAATTGAATTGATCTATCTTTTCTAATGCTAAATTCATTAATGAAAATTACCAAAAATGGGATCTCTTGCTATCTGCATGCAATCATAGAATTGGAAGGGATTTTTTTAGGCCTCCTAGGTTAAAGCATCCCTGAGAGATGTTTGGCCAGTCTTTCTTTGAATGGCTTCACCAACATAGAGCCCAGCACCTTGCTAGTGGGTTGGCTCCATTGCTCAGACCAAAAAGATTTTTTTCTTGATGATTCAGTAATATTAGAATGCAAAAACCTGTTCTTAGCAAATCTGTCCTGGCTTTCAGTGACCATGACCCCAGCCAGTGAGGTGTCCCTGAGGCAAGCCCTCTCATTACCTTCACTATGGAAAAAATCGCTCAGACTCGCCACAAATTGGACTCCACGGTTGATATGGTCCTGGAACGGGAGAAATCCAGAGCACCATCTGGTTGGCCTTTGCTGGATAGGTTTCAATTACTGTGGCCTGTGGACAAGGTGCTTGGACAAGTCCGACCCACTACTTGACCCTTGCCCTTCACAGTTGCTCACCAAAGCCAAGGATAGGGTGTGTACCTGGGTTCAAGAAGTAGTTAATCCCTTTTGAAGGAGGCTGTGAACAGACATATTCTGAAAAAGGCAAACCTCCACCCAGAGATTGCCTCCAGTTATACACCAGTGGCTAACATCCCATTCCCGGGCAAGGTGCTCAAGCAGAGGAGTGTGTCCCTGTGGTTCTCCTGGACCTCTCAACAGCTTTCGATGCCATCAACCATGGTATTCTTCTGGATAGGCTGGCCAGGCCGGAGGTTGGAGGCACTGCTCCGCAGTGGTTTCGTTCCTACTTGGTGGGCTGCTTCCAGAAGGTGGTGCTAGGGAATTCTGGCTCTGTGTCATGGCAGTTATGCCATGGAGTCCCACAGGGTTACATTTTATCCCCATTGCTGTTCAACATTTACATGAAACCACTTGGGAGAGGTCATTCAGGATTTGGGTTGATGAAACCCTGCTCTACCTCTCTTTTACATCTGATCCAGTGAGGCAGTGTCTGTCCTTAGCCAGTCAAGCTGGGTTGATGGGCTGGATGAGGGCCAATAAATTGAGAATTAATCCAGACAAGATGGAGGTCCAGTTGGTAGGTGGTTCAATTCTCCAGGTAAGTGATCTTTGCCCTGTTCTGGATGGGGCTGCACTTCCCCTAAGGGATGGGTAGATAGTTTGGGAGTGCTCCCAGAGTTATCCTTGGAGTCCCAGGTGACTACTGTGGTGAGGAGTGCGTTCCTTCAGCTTTGGCTGATCCATCAACTACGCCCTGACTTAAGATGAACAGAGCCTTACAATGGTGACCCATGCTCTGGTAACCTCCTGATTGGCCTATTGTAACATGTTCAACATGGGGCTGCCCTTGAAGACGATCCCAATACTTCAATCGGTTCAGAGCAGAGCAGCCAGGTTGCTAGAAGGGAACAGCAGTCCTGTACCATCTGCACTGGCTTCCAATTCAAGTCTGGGCCCAATTTAAGGTGCTACTGATGACAGCTTAGGACCTGGATATGTGAAGGAATGCCTCCTTCCACATATACCTGCCTAGCCTCTAAGATCTGGAGCAGAGGTCTTTCTTCAGGAGCTTTCTTTGAAGGAGGAGGGCCTTCTCTGAGCTGGTACCCCAATTATGAAATTGACTCCACAGAGAGCTGTGCCTGGTGCCAACGCTTTTTTCATTTTGCCACCAGGTCAAAACCTTTTTATTTTCCCAGCGTTTGAAATGTTAGTTTGCTTTTAGTATTGATTTTATACTGTATGTGTGATGGTGTGTTCCGTTTATGATATTGCTGCCCTGAAGACATTGTAAAGGGCGGGATACAAAAATTATAAATAAATAAATAGCAAGCGTATGTACTGTGTATGCATGGGGAGGGAGGAAGTGAGAGCAAGAGTAAGAGCAAGTCTACCAGAAAAGTCTTGTCAGCAAAAAGACTGAAGTTCCCTGTTTACCATGCTTAGAAAGATTTCAGCACAACAGAAGAGGAAATACTGGCCTGAATAAAAGAAGCAGGTGCTTACTGAAAAACTAGCTATATATAGAAATGCTTTGCAGATTATCTTTTTACACTTAACCTATGACTTGAATACAGTTAACTTTGGAAATAATTAGGTTTCACAACAATCTACTAGGTTCTCTGAATTCCATCTTTTTAGTTTTAATTTGTGCTGTCCTCTTCCTCTATATGACATTTATCAATTAGGTTGCATTGCTCTGACAGATCAATCAACTAAAACCTTAATTACAAATGAATATATGCCTCCTCGTTCCTTGTGGCTTGAAACACACAGCATTGCCGTAGATTGCACAAATCTTCATGTTCCTTCTCTGCTTCATAACATGTTATGGGGTGGAGGGACTTTACAACAGCATTCCTTCTCAGTTTGAAAATAGTAGGTATTTTGCATTTCAGAATGAAAACACCTTTGCTTTTCTTCCAGCATTAACAATTACAAAAGCTGAAGCTGACAAAGATCAGCTGAAATCAATGCTAATATGTGTTTTAAATGTGGATCTTAAATGACAGTGATTTTATTTTCAAGCCACTTTCATTCCACTGTTACCATAATAGGGAACAATATGTATTCAAGATTCCAGAACTTTTTCATAAGCAGCAGTCTTATCATGTAGAGACAAATTCCAAACTTAAAGGGAAGGTACATGTTTGTCCTTGTTGTACTATGCTATGGAGATGCTTAAAACACCTGAGAAGTACAGCACAACTGTAGAAATCATCCCCTGGCCTAAACTCAGGAAAAGGGCTCACATTAGAAGGGATTGAACAACAGCTACTCTAGATCTCTGGTTAAGACAAGTGGCTGATAGAGGGAAAGCACATAAAAATGATTAGGGGAGCAGGGGAAGGTTATGTCTAAATCAGTTACTGGCCCTGCTAGTTACAACACTTTTTTGGCAGCCTACAA